ATCATCTCGTACTCGGGCGGCCTCCATGGCTGCTCGCATGGTCCTCGGTCTCTCCAATCTTACCTCAGCTGCTAAATCGGCCTTTAAGCCTCCTACAAATGCTCCAACCAATGCACTTTCCGGCCAATCATGAACATGACTCGCTATTCGTTCGAACTCCTTCTGGTACTCGCGTAAGCTACCGACTTGTTAGATGTGGGAAAGAGCTTCATCGAAATCATGTAAATTTGGTTCGCTAAACCTCGTTATCAGCTCCTTTTAGAAATGTCTCCAACGAATGTGAACGTTTTTCTTCTTGTAAACCCTGGATAGCCAACGCCACCACACATTCGCTTCTCCGTCAAGGTAATAAGCAGCGATTTTCACCTGTTCCTTCCTCGGCACCTCATTGATTTCAAAATACTGGCCTGCTCTATTCAACCATGAATCAGGATCTGTCCCGTTAAATGTTGGTAAACTAACCTTAGGTTTTTCATTCCTCCGACGTTCCTGATGATTTGAACCTCTCGAATGATTATCTTCATCTCTCGCGAACTCGTTATGAAATCCGGCTTCACTACTTGTATCTGATTCTCCATCCGATGAAGATTCGGAACCGTTCCTCCTGGCTTGTCGGGCTGCGTTTTGGAGCATCATCCTCTCAATCCTAGCGATCACTTGGTTTGTCGATTGTACGTCCTCGTTGATTGAACGCACACTCTCCTCCAAACGATCGATTCTTTCTCGATTAGACATTGATACACGATCGGTGTTCTCTCAACGAAAGCACCAATGTTACGATCGTGTATCAAATTCACATAAAATAACGAAAAGTGTGTAAACCCCCACTAATTGGCCGTCGGTCGACACGATTTTGGTGCTCAAGCTGAGCGATTTTCTGATATATTATTGCTCAAAAGATAAAAATAAAAGTCTGAAAATACAAAGCTTTTATATCGTTCTGCAAAATGAAAATTAAGAAAACTGCTAATGAAACTGCATTAAACTGCTGCTCCGATCCCACGATCTCTATTCTTCACGGCGCGGCGATGTGGCGCGGCGCGACGGGATCGTTTTGCAGCGGCGCGACGTGGTCCACGGCGTGAAGGACTCTTTCTTCCTCCCTCTCTGTCCGTCCGTTACGTCCAACGCGAGCAGCATCACGGCGTGGCGACCTGGAAGCT